TTTAACCTTTTTATACCCGTTACTCGTAGAGTAAAAGTATGTAACAGGGAGAAGGAAGCGTTTCCGACCCTGATCAAGAATATATCGGAAATGCTTCCTTCTCCCTGTTACATACTTTTGCACGATTACAATATACCCTTTTACTCTACGAGTAACGGGTATAAATACACATGTTGGTCATCCATGGTCATGAGAGCTCTTAAGAAATCGCTGTCCATCGCGGATCATTTTTTCGCGGTTGTTCCCTATAATACCAAATCAGATTTCTGGAATTTTAAATTTCGTCTTATTATGACAAAAAGGGAAAAATGCACATATGTTCATATATGATTTCCAAAAAGGATAATTGTTTATAAAGCAAAACACGCAACCTTAAAAATTAAAAATTACAAGAGAACCATGGCTGACCGCCAATTTTTTAAAATAAAAACTCTTTAATTTCGGAGTGAGGTTCCTTAAACTAGTGTATTACCAAAAATCGTTTTCCCAGCCCTTAAAACTAACTACTTTTGAGAAAAAACGATGGCCCACCCGTTAGGACCAAAAATTTCTGAAAACCAGGTCGGAATCTAACTTCGGCAAACCGAATTTTAATACCCATGCAGATTTCACGAATAACAAGAGCGAACGCTATAGTCGGGTTGGTGTCCCGACTATCTAATACCCGTCACTCAGCTAAAGGGCGTGCGAGGGAGATGGATATATAACATTTTTTTTTATTGCGCATAACTTTTTAACAGAGCTTGCAAATAACTGTCAACCGATTTTCCTGAGGCAGTTTAATCTCGACAAAACCGAAAAAAATGTTGCTCACAAACTCTCTCTCTGAGCGGAACCCTTTTTTAGTTTTGCTTGTCGGTTTCGGTCCGACCGTTCGGCTTAACCGAACCAAGCAAAGATAAGAAAGATATGCCAAAAGTGGAGTTTTGGAATCGTAAATTATTTAAAATATGTAGAATATTGGAATTTAATGGTAAATGGGCTAATCTTACAGATTTAGCTTTAGAGAATACACATTACGTATTTTCCCTTACCCTTTTGAATTTTAATAATCAAAAAGCAATGTTACGACTGAAACATTACTGAACAGGTCACACATACACACTCATACAGCTGTGAAAAAAATAATAGCACCACTAACCCAAAAAAATTTTAACTAGTCACCCTACTCACATTTTTTAACTTTTTTAACTTTTCAAAACGGGTTTTAAATAGTAAGACTAAACATAATTTGAATATGAAAAAAAATGTTAGCTTTATAAAAGGTTTCTGGACTTATTTAAGAAAATCCGTGCAAAACTGGAAAAACGTACGAAAAAAATAATAGCACCACTTCTCTAAAAATAGAATAAAAGGTAGAAAAATGACAAATGGGTAACTTAATCTTTAGTTGGCGGTAGCTAACAAGTAAATCTAAGTTTAAAGTGTAAATATCTTTTGCGATTTTTGGATATAATGACTTACTATCGATTAAACAAGTCAGGACCCTACCTATAAAGGAATTGGGGCCCAAAAGTCATGATATATTTTCAAATTTTGTTCGGAAATGATTTAAGACGTTTTAGATTAACTGTATAAACTGTCTTTAAAAAAAAACTCCAAGATTTTTGGTTGTGTTATGGTCAAGCGAGTACACAAGTCACTGTATATTGCTGACTGAGTACTTTCGAACTCTTTCTTTGCTATCCTGACCGTGATCCTGGCCGGATTTTATTGGTCAAAGATTCATTTAAGAAGTATTATGTATTCAGTTTAAGCTACGAATTACTACCGTATTACTATTTACATCATAGGATGATTCATGAACGATGTATTCATCCGTATTGATCTTACTTCAAGAAGGAAAAACAAGCCTATGTTAATACTAGGTCCATGCTCAATAAATGGATGTTTTGGTACCATGTTTTTGGTCAATTTAGGTGTTTAGAAGACACATAACTTATAAAAAGGATTTCTTCTTACCCAATTTAACTTTGCCTTCACACATTCTCATAAGTTTGCGGGCATTCATTTGTAAGTTTTTTTGACGAGCCCTATGCCCTTGTAAATGTGTTTCGCATTTCGGATAGGATTTTTTTTTAAAGTGCATGTTTTATAAATTTGCTTATTAAAGCATTATCCAACTATTAAAATATTCGCCATTATTTTAAGCACGTGTTTTAGTTTAGTTTTGGCCCTGATAAGATTCTTTGTGCTTTGTGATATAACATTTTAGAAGGAAAAATGGGCCAGGACTCGCTTTTTCTGTGTTATCCTTTAAAAGTTTATGCCATTTTTAATAAAGATGATCCAAGACCTAACAAATTGAGCCGGTTTTCATGACCGTTTTCCATCCAATATGTTTCTTTTTTGAATATTTTTCTTTTCCGACTTGGAAAATTTTCCACATGTCCTTGTATTGCCAAATGGTAATCAATTTGATGTCTGGATATCAGGAAAAGTTAGTTTTAGTCAAATCTCATAGAATATATCCTTTATACACATGAATATTAGCGCATCGTAACGTTTTATTTAAAGAAAACGGAAGTGGTGCTATTATTTTTTTCTGCCTTTTTTTGACTTTTTTTCTTAAAATCTGAAAAAATTATATGTAGACAATATTTTCGATATCCGTATCAATTTTTTCAAATAGGTGGAATACTAATCAAGATAATAAAAAACACTTCTTGTATAAAAATCCCCGTTTTCCACATATTTCTTTAATATTAAGAACCTGTGACGAAGTGGTGCTATTATTTTTTTCGCAACTGTACATTCACAAAAGACCGTTTTCCTTAACAGACCGAGCAAAGTAGTCAGTAGAAACCGAAACCGAAATAACTCTAAAAAAAAGTGTTTTGCTCTGAGCGTAACATCTGTTAAGCAAAAACCCTTTTAAGGGGTTAGCTCTCACCCAGTTGTCATAGGGTTGTTTGTGACAGGTTTTTTTCCAACACTTTGAAAAGGTTAACCGAACCTTGCAAGCTCTGCTTTTTAATGAATGTTCCGATTTGAAAAATGTTTTCTACATTTTGATAGGTATACACAACAAAATTGCATTTATACTTATCGGAAATCTTTAAGGGTGTGGGCGCCAGACACATTTTTAAATCGATAGCGGTCGATTGTGGGCCTTAGAGGGGTCGTGGCGCATGGCTGAAATAAACTTGCGCTGCGTAGGAAGCCCAAGAATATGAGTGGAAACTCTCAACCTTTTAGCTTTTGTAGTTTTCGAGATCTCAGCGTTCATACAGACAGACAGACGGACATGGCTAGATCGACTTGGCTAGTGACACTGATCAAGAATATATATACTTTCCAGGGTCGGAAATGCTTCCTTCTAGCTGTTACATACTTTTGCACGAATACAATATATCCTTTTACTCTACGAGTAACGGGTATAAAAATTTGACTAGAATAGCAACCGGAAATCATAAACAGCTGAGCTTTTCAAATTTTTCTCTCTACTGTTCCTATGGGAGCTATAGGATAGAGACATCTGATCGGCACTCCCTTTTACCCTGATCAAGGTATGCATAAAAGAATAAGATTGCAAAATATGCATGTCGATAGCTTTTACACTGCGCGAAGTATCTTAAATTTTAATGAGTTATATCCGATTGTTCCTTTGGGAGCTATAGGATATAGACGTCCGATCGGTCGATTTTTAAACTTGATCTGCGTACACATGTTATAGGAAGACTGTGAAAGTTTTAATCCGCTAGCTTCTGTCTGTATGAACGCTGAGATCTTGGAAACTATAAATAACCATGCAGATCCTTTAGCTTTAAAGCCACACCCACTCTAACTCTCACAATCGCCTTAAGCGACCCTAAAGTGTCGTTCTTAAAACCTTACATTTTTCAATATAATTTGCATGGGTATTAAAACATAGGTTTGTCGAAGCTGACGTGGTTATAAACTTCGCCAATTCGGTTATTCCACATTTTTTAATTTTTACCACGTTTTTAAATTGTTTTGGGCTGTTCAAAATACATCTGTAATTGTTTTTCATTATAATTATTATAATTATTAATACCAAACATTAATTTTTAGGAAGGCAATTTTATATAAATTTATAGACGCAGTTATGTCTTTATTTTTAGCGTTATTTTTAGTTGGCAACGGAGTAATTAGGCCTCTAAAATAAAAAGGTTTGACAATTCAATCAAAAAGAATCAAATTAATGTTTATTATTGATCCCATTTCACAGTAGCTCTAATGAATGAGAAAAATTGTACTTTTTAGATTCAATTTTGCTCATCGGTCCAGTTAGTACCGTATTGAGGCATTTTAAAATACCAAAAGTGCCCATCGGTTTTTCAATTTTGCTCATTGTAGCCGACATATATCTGTCTTGCTCGCACCTACGTAAAATCGTATAGGCTGAGAAAAATTGCTCTAATGAATGAGCCGAACAATGTAGTAGAATAACCGCTGAAAAGGTGGGGCAGCTAATCCGCGGAGCTTAATAGCTGCTGCCTTTATGATGGATGAAATGCTGGCGTAGCGCTGTGGGGCTGTTGCTGGCAGTTGCGGTGATGATGTTGATGATGAGGATGTCGATGCTGATGGTCAGGATGTCGATGATGACTTCGATGATGAGGATGCCGAGGATGACGCTCGGTTCAACTGCTGGAGAGTCGGTAATTTTTGCAAGAAAATAAAAAAATTGCGGAGCTTTTGTCTTCTCTTGTCAACGTTTTATTCGAAGTGACCGGAAACTCTCGTTAATGTAGAGTCCCCAGTTTTTAATTTTTACTTATTGAGGAATGGTGAGATAGGAACACTTGGTTTAAAACAATGTAGGACTAGAGGCTATTTACATGAGCTTGCTGCGTATTTACAGGATTACAGGCTATTAACATTGAAGTGTTAACAGTGATTTATTACAGGGGTTAGCGTGCGCTAGCAACCGCATAACCGAAGTTAGTTTCTTTTTTGTTATAAATAATACTAAATTTATGAACATTTTAATTTAAGTTAAATTATAAACACCTTTAATATGTTTCTCCATGCAGGATATCCCCAACTATAGAATAATGGTTAAGGAATTTTACCGCGATGTGTCAAGGCTTCCACAAATAAGCGACCAGGAAATGAGTACAGCTATGCAACAACTATCTGTAAGGCAGAATGATGAATTTGACACGATTTCTGCATTAAAAGAGTTATATATTTATATAACGAAATATAAGGAACAGGTTAAATTTTCCTTTAATCACAACTAACTTTTTTCACTAATCATTTATTTTTCTCTAATAATACAGATTATGGAAGCACTTGAGAACGATATAAATTGCAGGAAGATGCAACTTTCCCGAAAATTGGAAAATGTTGCTAATACGCTCGATGGTGACGGATCATCTAATTGCTGACATACACATGATATTTTAGGAATTGTTTGGTATATAAAATACATTAACTTTCCATTTTGTTTTTTAGCGAGAACAATATTAACTAATTGCCACTCAGCAAAAAGTTTTAATTTCTTTAGTTAAAGAAGAAAAAAAAGGTCATGCACAAGAAGCAGGCTTTGTAATATAAGAACAATACCCTACCGCTATTATTACGAAGAAGAGATACACAACATTTTTGTCGAAATATTAAATATTTTTATTTTAGTATTTACGCAAAGGCTCGCACTGATTGTTTTTACGGAATTTTTAATATAGTATGGCAGCACCATATTTAAAAGCCTTATATCCGAAAGTCGTGATAATATACTGCCATACTTTAGTAAGTGAATAATTAATGTTAGTAATAGTCTTAAAAACGCAAACTTAGCTATTAATTATACCAGCTACAAAATAAAATAGACCTCATCGAAAACGACTTTGGTTTTTCGATAAAGTACAACTACCTGATTAAGATAAGGGCACTTAAAATGTTTAGTATGGTGTCAAATTTGTATTTAAATGTCAATGTTCTTGTTATAGAATGTCCTTTAACTTCCTTATGCACATAATTAAGTTCCAGTCATTAGTTTAGAAGTTACGCCTCGTCAAAGTTTTATAAAGTTACAATCTTTTTTCTATTATTTTTTCGAATATTCCTATGAGACCCGCTCGTTCCGACATATGTACTACTTGCAATAGAAAGAAGACTTTTGGGAAAGTTTAATCGCTATAGCCTAGTACTCAGTTGGGCTAGGAGTTCCAATAGTCGAAAGATATTATTCTTTTGTAGTGTGACCGAGCTTTTCAGAGTTCACCCGCTTTGTTTGTGGCATGGTCTTATTGTAAACCACCTGCGCTTACACGCAGCAGACAAATCAACTGGGGCCAATTTTAAAATATTACAAAATGTTGAGCCGACCTGGGTCGCAAGCTTTAAATTTGCTGTTGGCATGGAGATATGTGTTGCCCCTACTCATACATGCGGTTTTCAATTGGTTTTTGGGGTTTTCCTTCCATTTATAATTGGTTATTGGCACACCGCTTCTGCACAAACACGGCCAAGGATAACATTTTTTATTCTTTGGGCCGCGGCTAAAGGCGTTCATCGGAATTCATCCGCTAAATCTGTTATTGGTTGATGGCTGATTAGGAATATATATACTCGCGAACATCTCCTTCACCGCGCTTAAAATATCTGAATGAAAATATAATACAAAGGGTATAAAAAGTTGTAAAATATGCAAAAACGCTGGCATAAATAGCTCATTTAAAAATACAATCCTTAAAACCAAAATTAGTTAAAGAATATGCTATTACGAGTTAAATGCGTCTTTGAATTGGCTTATCAGAAATCGAGATAGAACCAAAAACGTTATAAACAATTAAAAAAATTGATACCATTCAAACAATTTTAAGTGCCCTTTTCTTAATCAGGGAGGTGCCCTTTACCTAAAAACCAAAGTCGTCTTCAATGAGGATTTTGTCGATTTTCTTTTGTAAAATGGTATTATTAATAACCAAACTTAAATTTAAACTTTATAATTCAAATAACTTTAACTGGTTCATTAAATCATTTAGGTTGAATGCTGCAAAATTAATAGTGTGTGTTGGCAAAAAAAAGAGAATTTTACCACGTTTATAAATTGGGCTGTAATTGTTTTATTTTTCTGTAATTGTTTTTAATTTTATCACACCCGGCATTAATTTTTCCAGGTCCAGGTAGTACCGTATTGAAGCATTTTAAAATACCAAAAAAAATACCCAAAGTGCCCATCGGTTTTTAGAATTTTTCTCATTGATTGCTCATTGTAGCCGACATATATCTGTCTTGCTTGCACCTACGTAAAATCGTATAGGCGGAGAAAAAAATGCTCTAATGAATTAGCCGAACAACAAAGCGGAATTACCGCATAACCAAAACAAAAGTTAGAAATTTAGAGAAAATTAGATGCCCTAAACATACTGTTTAATCAATTTTTCTTCACTCATTAGGATTCAAAAGTCCCAAAAAAAAGAAGACTGGACCTTAATTAATTACATCTTTTCTCAGAAACTTTCAAAGTATTATTTCTCTGTATGAAAACCGAATTAATCACAAATTAAATACGTTTACCGGAAATTTGGTCAAATGTGTATAATAATATTAGTATATTTGCAAACTTGTTGTGCATTTAGCCTTCGTGTTAATGACGTTTGTAAAATTTTTCAGCAAGTAAAGAACTGATCAATGTATCTTTATAATAATTAATTCTGTATTTAAATTAAGCTATAAAATGTTAATAAATATATGTATTTATATTATATATAATAAGTTCTTAATAATATAAATGCAGTGGTCGAAAAATGTCCCTTCATCAACGACAAGCCTCCAATTAGTATAACTTTAGAAAAGATAATATTTTTCTTTCGGCCACGATTCATTTTTATGTCAATTAAAGTTTATTTAAATGGGATTAGTTTTGGTAAATAAAGAAATCTAATGGGAAAAATATAATAAAAAAATTAATAAATACTCTAAGGGAAGATTTTTTAAATGTGCAGTGTTAGCATAAACTCCATTTCGTACAGTTGTAAGGTACGTCTGTACAACTATGTGTTACGAGACGTAAGAAAATGTTTATGGGCGGAGGTATTTTCTGAGAACGTAAGCAAAACATGAGCAGAGTGTAAATAAATAAATAAATAAGATTCACACGTTTATGCGTTTCACATACATTCTAGTGCACCCAAGTCATACTTCTAGTTCAATTAGCATAGAGTGGGGTTCGATTAGAGTGAAAAGTTTGTAACCTTTGAATATGTATGTCGGTAGTAGACCCCTTTCATTAATGCATTCACTTAATGATTATTTTGAAAAATTTGTATGCAGCATACACATACAGTGGGAAGGGACACAGCATTTACAAACGAACAGACAGACAGACAGACAGACAGACAGACAGACAGACAGACAGACAGACAGACAGACAGACAGACAGACAGACAGACAGACAGACAGACAGACAGACAGACAGACAGACAGACAGACAGACAGACAGACAGACAGACAGACAGACAGACAGACAGACAGACAGACAGACAGACAGACAGACAGACAGACAGACAGACAGACAGACAGACAGACAGACAGACAGACAGACAGACAGACAGACAGACAGACAGACAGACAGACAGACAGACAGACAGACAGACAGACAGACAGACAGACAGACAGACAGACAGACAGACAGACAGACAGACAGACAGACAGACAGACAGACAGACAGACAGACAGACAGACAGACAGACAGACAGACAGACAGACAGACACGACAGACAGACAGACAGACAGACAGACAGACAGACAGACAGACAGACAGACAGACAGACAGACAGACAGACAGACAGACAGACAGACAGACAGACAGACAGACAGACAGACAGACAGACAGACAGACAGACAGACAGACAGACAGACAGACAGACAGACAGACAGACAGACAGACAGACAGACAGACAGACAGACAGACAGACAGACAGACAGACAGACAGACAGACAGACAGACAGACAGACAGACAGACAGACAGACAGACAGACAGACAGACAGACAGACAGACAGACAGACAGACAGACAGACAGACAGACAGACAGACAGACAGACAGACAGACAGACAGACAGACAGACAGACAGACAGACAGACAGACAGACAGACAGACAGACAGACAGACAGACAGACAGACAGACAGACAGACAGACAGACAGACAGACAGACAGACAGACAGACAGACAGACAGACAGACAGACAGACAGACAGACAGACAGACAGACAGACAGACAGACAGACAGACAGACAGACAGACAGACAGACAGACAGACAGACAGACAGACAGACAGACAGACAGACAGACAGACAGACAGACAGACAGACAGACAGACAGACAGACAGACAGACAGACAGACAGACAGACAGACAGACAGACAGACAGACAGACAGACAGACAGACAGACAGACAGACAGACAGACAGACAGACAGACAGACAGACAGACAGACAGACAGACAGACAGACAGACAGACAGACAGACAGACAGACAGACAGACAGACAGACAGACAGACAGACAGACAGACAGACAGACAGACAGACAGACAGACAGACAGACAGACAGACAGACAGACAGACAGACAGACAGACAGACAGACAGACAGACAGACAGACAGACAGACAGACAGACAGACAGACAGACAGACAGACAGACAGACAGACAGACAGACAGACAGACAGACAGACAGACAGACAGACAGACAGACAGACAGACAGACAGACAGACAGACAGACAGACAGACAGACAGACAGACAGACAGACAGACAGACAGACAGACAGACAGCGATGTCAGGCGATTTCAGCTGCATTAGCTTGTGGAGCATAGAAGAAAGTTCGTATGTGTCAAATTCCATGTTGCTCGAGCAGTTCTGCGAATACCTGAGAGACGAACTGCTTGCCGTTATCGGAGTGCCTTCAGATACCTGAATGTCTGGTGTCTTTTCTGCGTGCCTCTCCACTGCCAGAACCAGCTCTCGGTTCTCTTTTGACTGGAATGCGTCCGCCTTTAGATTCACTTGGATTTCTGCTGGGTCTTCTGTAGCTATCTCGTCCATATGTGTTCTCGAGAGCGCGTCGGGGACTACGTTCAGTGCCCCTTTCCCATGCTCAATCTGGAAATCAAAAGCTTGCAAATTTAAACTCCACCTTGCCAGTCTTCCTGACAAATCTTTTTGTCCCATGAGCCACTTTAAACTAGCATGATCCGTGATTACTTTAAAAGGCATGCCTTCCACATATGGTCGGAATTTACTAATACTTAAAATCGCGGCATAACACTCCAGTTCCGTTATGGAATAGTTCCGCTGAGCTTTATTCAACTTTGCAGACATGTATGCGATTGGATGTTCTCCGCCGTCCTCGTCGGTTTGAAATAACACGCCTCCTACTCCCGTTGTGGAATCGCATTGAATTGTGAAGGGTTTGGAGAAATTCGGGGTTATCAGTACTGGCGCGGAAACCATGCTGGTTTTCAGAGCCTCAAATGCTTTCACTCCTTCTTGGTCAAGTTCATATTTCTTAACCCGATCCTTTTTCAGACTTTCATTGAGCGGCGCCGCCGTTTGTGAGTAATTCTGAATAAAACGCCGATACCATCCTGTCATACCCAAAAATCTCCGCATTTGCTTGGCGGAAGTGGGCTGCGGAAACTCTTGAATCGCCTGTATTTTTGTCTGGTTTGTTTATGCAACCTCCGCCTACAATATACCCTAGATATTTAGCTTGGCTGTAGCAGAATTTACTTTTATCCACGTTAATCGTCAGCTTTCCCCTTCTTAAGCGGTCACTGACCTGCCGCAACATATTTAAATGTGCCTCAAAAGTAGGCGAACATACCAGCAGATCTTCGAGATACCAGCTGTTGTTTTGCTGGCGAGATGGGATAGTGCCTTTGCTTAATCGGCAGATTTTCCTGGGTAACTTCTATGACATGTTCTTCTAAACCAGTCTTCCCTAAGCCCATGTCTGAACATGATGGAAAGGTTGCCACCAGTTGGTTTAAGATGGTTTCTTGTTCTATCGAGAGTTTATGCGGAGTGTATGCGGTCTCCTGCCGTGCCGGCTTGTCTTCTTCTATGGGTGGCACTGGATCTACCT